AGGAGAGAGAGAGAGAGAGAGAGAGAGAGAGAGAGAGAGAGAGAGAGATTCTGTTGCAAGTGGTGGGAAAACGGGCTCTTTTGAAGAGGCGTGGGAACGGTTATAAGGACTAAAACGACGTCGAATAGGAGTCAAGATAAAGCGACGTCGTAATGGAGGATGTTGATGGTTGAGTTATGTCCGAGTTTGGACCGGGTCGGGGGTCGAGTCACGGCGTGGGGCCTGGTTATGGACGCAAATATCAAAACTGACCGTTTTAATGGCATCTATCGGTTACCACCTCCATGTGGACGAAATGATTCCATTTTCATTATAGACTTTTTTTTATTAATGGACCCACCGACCATTGTATCCGTTGAAGTGGTTTATGCGATTCAATTACAGAATTTTTGTTTATTGCATTTTTTGGATCGCCGCCGTGTGGGATTTAATCATATATATATATATATATAATAAAAAAGGGCACTGAAGTCCATGATTTTGTCTTTGTTCATGTCAACTAAAAAAATAAACTTTTCATTTATAGACAAATCTACTTAAAGCTACAATTGAAAATCTTTTATTTTTAATTATGAAATTATGACAAAATAAATAATATATATATATATATATATATATATATTCTCACATAAATAAATATTATTTATAGAATAAAAAAACACTTATGAGTCATGAGTCATGACCACGTGAGTGATTGAAGGGGGCAGGTTGAGGAGCGGATTCACAAGGAAACGATAGAAAAATAATAAACTAGCCGTTAGGTATGAACAAAGCTACTCAACACTTTTCCATCTGCTCTCTCTTTTTTTTATTCTAAATAATATTTTTACTGATTCACAAGCGACAAGGAATCTGAATCTTTATATATAATTAAAAAAATGATATGGTTATTTTAACTGTGATTGCGGAGAGATGGCGAGAAATATTTACCGTCGGATTTCACTTGAGGGGATTTGTGGAATTCTTTTGGATTAGCCCGGATTTGGATTCCAAAATTTCGGGACATTTTTGGCATTAGTGAACACAAATTTGAAAATAAAAGATCCACGCTAATTGGCCAAAACGATGTCGTATAAGGGTTAGTACGGCGCCGTTTCATCATCTGAGGCTCTGTAAATTCCAGGACTGACATGTGTTCTGCCATGCGGCAACTCATCCGGAAAATAGGACAAAACAAAAATGATCTGTGACTACAGAAACTCAATCGTCTTCCCTGTCCATTGATCTCTCCCCAAGACACCATGTCTCCTCCATACTTCACCGTTACCATTCTTCTTGCCCTTTTGTTACCACTTCTCAACCTCGTCGGTCGGAATCTCGCGTTGGACAACGACGGTGCTTGTCCTTACCCTTGTAACCAACCGCCGCAACCACCATACCCTTTGTACGGTTATCCACCTCCACCTCCGTCACCGTCCGGTTACCCTTTGTATTTTCCGCCGCCTCCGCCACCACGCCCTCACTGCCCTCCTTTTCCGGCAGAGTGTTGCCACCCACCGCCGCCGCCGCCGTACCCCTACGTGTTTCCTCCTCCGGGAGCCAAGGAGCCTCTTGGAACCGGCGGCGGAACCGCCGGATGTTCTCCCACCGTGGCGGTTTGTGTTACGATGCTTGTGCTTTCATATCTTGCTTCAGTGTTGTAGACTTTTGACTTGCGGAATTGTTAGGTTAATTCCTCAATTTACACGGTGAATAAAAGCACTCTCTTTGTGGGCTTTGAATTTTTGTATTGGGCTTTATTGGCCTGTTCGGCCCATTTCTTTCTATCTCCGTATATTTCGCACGTGTGGTGTTTTTGTGTGAGTGTGTGAGAGAGAGAGAATTTATTGCCTAGGGTCATATGGACTGGTTGTCGGTGGAAACCCCGACACAAAAAGGACGGATCTCGGCCGTACACGTGGCACTACATTTTTAGAAGCCCCAGGCTGGCGATTCTGGTTGCCATGTTGTTGGCTATGGGGCCACGCAACCCACACTCTCTCAGGCCCATCTAGTTTAATTCCGATCATACCCCTAAATATTATTACAATCTGCGAAATTACCCCTGCCCGTTTTTTCTATTTTTTACCGAACCTTAACGGACCGGTCGCGCTTTGCTCAGCGCCGACACTGTAGATATGGCCACGTGGCAGTCCACCTCTAATCAACGGTTGTCATCGTCCCCTGAAGAAGATCATAAAATCTCGTTCTTTCCTTTGATCTTCAAGTGACTTTCTCATGTGCGTATGTATGAATAGAAAATTCCCGAGTTTACATGACGGTATTTTGGGTTTTCGGTTCATAAATAGTTTCTTAGGTTTTATAAAAAATATACCAATTTATAACCGAACGATCTGGTTCGGTTTCGATTTGAATCGGTTCAAAACTAAATTCGGTTTCGTTCGGTTTGGAACGGTTTAATAACAAGGGTGTGATTTTCAAGAATCTCAACTAAAAGTCTATCTTATAAACATTAAGGATTAGTTGGTGCCGCCCGATGTTCTAAAGTGTTCCATTAGTGCTAATAGCTGATTTCATTAAAACAAATATAGTATTAGGCGAAATATATCGGATAAGATTATTTCATAGTACGAGTTCCATATACATTTATATATACATATATATATATATATATATATATATATATATATGAAAAACGTAAGCAGAGAAAGATTCCATGCTTGAGAAGGGGGTTTAAATTTAATTGAGTGGCAAATATTGTTTTATTTGATGCCTTAGTTGAAGAAGAAGATATACCACTCGCACGTGACATGTTGGACTTCCCCGTCCTTTTCCTCCATCTTTACTCTTCCACAACGTATAAATAAAAAAAAATATTGATAAGTTTTTTTTTGGTAAAGATAAAATATTGATAAGTTGCATAAATCAAATATGTAATGCATGTTGAATTTTTATTGTATATAAAAAACATTATACTAAATTAGTATATTTTATAAAAGCATGCATTTATGGAATTAATAGGGTCAGTGGTAGGGCGATGCCAGCGTGTCCCATGGTTACACTTCCACAGAATTAGTTAAGAATCTGCGATGGCTCTACCGTAATTATTCCAAATTTCAGGCCCGTTTCCGTTAACCTCTTCTTCGTTTCCCGCAGTTTTTAAGTTACCAGAGCTCGTTTGCTCCCTCCTTCGCTCTGTGAAACACAAGATATTTATCTCTCTATCTCTCTGAGCTTCAACAACGGCTGCAATGGCGAAGAACTTGAGAGGAGTTCTCGTCTCATTCTTCATCGCTATCTCTCTACTCTTTGCCGGCGATGCTCACGCGCACAATGTCACGCGCCTCCTGGCGAAGCACCCATCGTTCTCCACCTTCAGCCATTACCTGACCCAGACCCACCTCGCCGACGAGATCAACCGGAGAACCACCATCACCATATGCGCCGTCGAAAACTCCGCCATGTCCGACATCATCTCCAAGGGCTACACCATCTCCACCATCAAAAACATCCTGTCCCTCCACGTCCTCCTCGACTATTTTGGCGCCAAAAAGCTCCACCAGATCCGCGACGGCTCCGCCCTCGCCGCCACGCTCTT